GTCCAGTCTTTGAGAGTGCTGTAGGATATGATTGGTATGTTTGAAGCACTGTATTTTTGCTCCTCCGGAGGCCTTTGTAGATGTGTTTGATCTGTTATTTTCTCCCTCCACTTCAGTGGGACCCTGCAGAGGCGCGCAGTCAGAACAGCACACCAGAGAGAGGAGGGTTAGCTCTCTTGCCGCCCCCCTCTCATCTACCTTCACTCACATCCTGGCTTATGGCTTCCCGCCCCCGCAGCATTTGTGTTCATGTTGAAAATGCAAAGATGTAAATGAGATTTGAAAGCAACTGCATATATATATATATATATATATATATATATATAGTTTAAATTGTACAAAATTGCTAAAACTGAAATAAAACTAATTAAAAACGATATAGATATAGAGTTATAATAATATGAGTGGTATAGGTTTTATTTTATATCAATCAATCAATAAAAACGTTTTGTGTTTCACTGAAAAAGAAAAATCATCCACATTAGGAATTACATAAGGATGAGAAAATAATTGTCATTTTTGGGTGAACTTTTGCTTTAAATGGGTGCTTTGGATGTGAAAGACGTGCAGATGGTTTGCACACAAAAATATACCCACACACACACACCATTCACAAACATAAACATAGTCATAAAAGTTCACAGAGCTTGTATAATTCTATATTGTTGACTTTTTCTCTCCAGTCTCCAGGCAGTTAATGCTGCACGACTCACACCACTTATCCAAAGCAGAAGAGATCATCTGCTCAATGTTATTGGGCTAAATGCTTTTCAACTGGATATCTATTTTCAGGAATTGCGTAAGCAAAGAGTGTTCTGTTTTAAATGGTTTTGTAACATGCCCCTATATCACATAATTGAATTGACTAGCACATGTTGATGGAAAGACATGAAACCAATCCGCACTGTACGCAATCTGCTGTGGAGAACCGAGCTCAGGCAAGATTACATAAGAAATGGAGGCGTCAAAATGAAAAGAAAGAAAGAATGAATTAGACGACTAGAAAACAAAGAAGCAGAAAAAGAGAATAGTAAGAAAAGAAGAAATCTGAACCAAAACAGTCGTTTTAGTTTTGACATTTTGACATGTCTGTACTCCTATGTTGCCAACAAGGAACATCAGAAGTGAGATGTTCATGAACAGCCTTAACCTTTTCATTCTGTGGATGGCATAAAGAGATAACCTTCTGCTTTTGAACATTGGCTTCTTCTCTGTCTTATCTGCTCAGAGGAGATAGTAGTCCAGAAAGGGCTGTAGATATGCTTCAGCTTCCATACATTTTCTTTTTTCACTTTTATTCACTTTATAAGACGTAAAGAAGTAATCTTGTGTATTGTATTATTACCTTTTGCCATTTTATTTTCATTGTACAGATTTTTTATTTTTTTTTTAATAATGCAGAAACCGGTCTAAAAAAAACCTTTCATGGCATGTTAATACAGATTTCAAGCTGAGCAGCAAATAATAAAGCCAAATAAGTAAAGCACTAAAATTCAATATTAAACAACATTTTGTAGTTTATGGTGGTCAATATCTCCCTCTGGTGATCATAAACTGTCTACAGACACTCGCGTGCACAGAAATGCATGGTAAACGTTAATAAAAGCTTATTTTAGAAATATATTGCTATTTTTTGTAATGATTCACACAGCAATTAGTGTTTCAATAATACATAAAGATTTAAAATAAAATGTGAACATATATCTGTACTAATTTTACAATACAATTAAGAATTGACTAAGAGATGTTCAAAGTAAAGGCATGGAAGCCCATAAGACAAAAAAAAAAAAAATATATTTTTTTTTTTTTTTTTATCAAATGTTACATGTGAATTTATTTTCTTGGGAAAATTTATTAAATATTGGTAGAAAATATATTGATGATATATTAGCAAATATATATTTTGAAATATAATTAAAATCTTCTTTTTTTTTGGCCTTATGGGAAAGACAAATCTATGCAGAATGCAAGAAGCCTATTTTACATTAAGTCCGTGCGATATTATATAGACAAATATGTACTGAAAATCTTATCTTACTATTGCATCTATTCAGAGGTCATGTGAATGTTGAGCAGATCATGGTGTTCTGTCAAACAAAGGATGAACAGGATGAACACCGCTAAACTATTATCTTTGCCCGAAACAAGCAATAAACTACATCTAAACAGAAAGTAAAACAGATCCAAACAAACAAATCATGAATCATGACACATGTGATTTAAGCTTAGATGCTGATTGAGGAGTTTGCTGTATGCTGAAGAGGATGGGATGACCAGGGCCTGGAGTAAAGCAGTGATGTCTGACGTACCAAGCTCCAATCACATCAACTTTGAAGACATGCAGAGGTGGAGTGTCATTCAATTTGCACACAGGACTGCGAGGATGCCAGGGTCATGTGGAAGGATTTTAAGTTCAGAGCTCTTCCGTAAGATACAATCAGTCGATTCAGCACTTGAGCTGGATGTATATGCATCGTATGTTGACCACAGAGCATCTACACATTCCTATTTAGATTAGATCGAGACAAAATTATACATAAAGAGAGGGGGGTTAGACTTTCGCAGAGTGTTGAAAGTCTAACTCCAGTGAAGAATTCACACTTTTTAAAGATGTGCCTACAAGCCCAAGAGAGAGGAGTATCGCCCTTTTGGGGCTCCTCTGACCTGTCCTGAACATATCTATCGTTTACCAGCAAAGGTCATATACAGTGATGCTGACAGTACTGCAGCGGTTCTGAGCAGATAGGCTCCTACTGTTTGGACACCCTTGATAGAAGATCATGCATTATCTCTGCAGAAACACAACTTTTGCACTAAAGATATGTCATGTGTTCAGTTCTTACACTCTTATAGAGAAGAGGCACAAAAGATCTTGCAATAATAATCTTAAAATAATCAAACATAATATAACAGAAGTATATAGTTGAACATGTGTGTGTGTCATATAAATGCTCCACATAAGTTTTGGAACAGTAAAGACAAAATTGCATTGTCTGCTGTGGAGTCAAGACATCTGCAAATATGATTAAAAGATGAGTATGAGACAAAACTACAGAATGTCACATTTTATTATTAGCCGTTTCAACACATTCATGTTTTACCAAATAAAAAGGAGAGCACTTTTAGAGTTTGATTCCCTAATCTGATGTGAACATAAGTATTGGGACAGTTGAATTTATAGTATGCTGTGTTAAGTATATTGTTTCTGTATCGCTCTTTTTTTCTGTATTACTCTTTTTAAGAGTGTACTTCATTTTCACATAGGAATAAATGAATGTAACGTGAAAGATAAATGTAAAATTTAAAAGAAAAACATTGGGTACACAACTATTATTATTATTACTAATACCAATACATTTCTTAAATTCCTTAAAAATGTAAAGTTTGCAATAGTCAGAAATAAAAAAAAAATATGCAGAGTAAACAGCACTGACGTGTGCAACAGAATAGACAAACAAACGCAATTGAAATTATTCAACACCCCTGGAGACTGTAATCATTTACAAATGTGAGCTTTTCTAAAGAAGCAGAGTTTTTATTATTATTATTATTATTATTGTTATTATTATTGCATCCACAACAGTTAGTGGCAAATTATAAGTGATGATATCAGTATTTAATATAATGTTTTTGAGTTGTTGCACAATACAGCTGTGTCATAATTATTCAACCCCTATTCAGCATTGCTGTTTTTAAGTCACTTAAACTGTATGTACTGTATGGCTTAGCTTGAGCTGTTACACAAACATACATTTAGCCCATACATGTGCTAAAGTTGGCCAAGTCAAAAGAGCTCTCACAAAAGCAATAGAGAATAAATTGTTTTATTACATTACAACTGTAACATCTTGACTGTAAAGGACATCATGGATTTTTTTGAAGTATCAGGCCATTTTGATACTTTGATAGATTGTGAT